AGGTGCAGGCGCAACACCGAGGGTTGCGATCCCGTTGCCGGTCCCGGTCCGGTACGGGCGCGACACTGAGGGTTGCGATCCGTTGCCGGTCACGAAAAAAGACAAAAAGGAAAAAATAAATAAATAAATAAATAAATAAAAACTTAAAAACCTCTATTCAATAGAAACTTAAAGTGAAAAGATAAAAACAAAAGTGATAAACAATTTCTAGAATGTATAAAGAATTTTTCTAAATCAATAAAAAGAAAAACAAGCAAAGGATACAAACAGAATGCTCACAGAAAAGAGTTAAAATGGCCAATAAACACATAAAAGGACACACATTTTACTGGTAGTCAAGAAAATGCAAATTAAAGCAAGAATGAGATAATATTTCACTTCATTATACTGGCAAAAGTAAAGAGCTTGATAATATCAAGTAAGTGTTGCTAAGTACGCAGAGCAGTAGGGAATTCTTACGTGCTGCCGATGGAATCATATTTGAATAACCACCTTGGAGAGCAATCTGACAATACCCAGTAAAGTTGAAGATGAGCCTATCCAATGAGCACACAAGATCATGGCTGGATATACCCGTGCACATACACTAGGCATATAGAAACACATAGATACAAACATATACACAAATACAAAAATATCCACACAATAGCAAAAACCATAAAATTCAACGTCCATCAGCAGGAAAACTGATCAATTATAGTAGAGTCATTCAATGAGATACTATTCAGCACTTAGAGTGAATGAACTACACGTGTAATGCTTCATGAAGAAATCTCAGAAACATTGTTTCTTTTTTTTTGGCAGCTGGCCAGTATGGGGATTTGAACCCTTTATGTTGGTGTTAGAACACTGTGCTGTATCCAAAAGAGCAAACCGACCAGCCTCAAAAACAATGTCGAGCAAAAAAATAAATTGCAGGACACTTACACTATCCTACCATGTATGTAAATTTTTAAAAAATATTACAAAAAGGAGACCATATTTTTTTAAGGATACATACTTTTAGCATAAAATATGCCAATATGGAGGGGAAGGATACATACTAACTTCAAGACTGATGTTATCTCTGGGGAGGAAGGAAGGGGAATGGAATTAGAATATTGACGGGGCCTAAGTATTTTATTACTTAAAAAATAAACTTTAAAATAAGTACTGTGAAACTTTTCATTTATTAAATCTGGGTGGGGGATATATAGGTGTTTGTCGTATATTTCTCTGTACTATTCTGTACGTTTAAATATGAGAGTACCTCAAAACGTTCATGGAAAGATTCATATTACCTTTTAATTTTATTTTTCCATGAATGTTTTGAAGTACCCCCTTATTACATAAATATAAATGATGAAGGAAAACAAAAGGCAATTTAAGGCCCTGTATTTAACCAAAAATAAAAAGGGAGTGAAAATACGATGTGTTTAGTTTTAATGAACAACCTTCTAGATATTTTTCACTTGATCTCATGAGAGCCATAAAACTCTGTACTGAAGTCTGCACACTGTCATGTGCAATTAATAAAGGCACTTTGATAGGAAAGAGGAGGAACAAAAGGAAGGAAAAGAGGAGGACATTCATACAAATACTTGTCTCCACACAAGAGAATGATTTTTGCTCTCTCCTCTCTTGCCAATTTTGTAATTGTTTATGTAGAATAATGGAAGAGCCACTGGCAGAAGTTCTTAAAGCAAGATTCCTGGGATATCTGTTTAGAGCACAGGGGAAGTTAAAATCACGTGGCTGGGGAAATATTTTGACCCCACTGTGGTTCTACAAGCAAGAAGAACCCTTCTTCAGAAAGTCTCCAGCAATGTTTCTGGAAGCTATCATCTTACTTTATTGCTCAGATCTGACCTAAGTCTGTTCAGTACAACTTGGGACATAATAAAAGCACCCTGTGTTGAATTTCAAAGGGAGCTCACCTTTCTCTCAAGCTCTTTAGTAATTGCATCCAGAACCATCTTATGATGTGCAAATACTAGAAACTTCTCTCTTCCACTTTCCAGAAGGTCCAGGATATATTCACTGCATTGGACAATGACAACAAAACAGATTACACATACTTATCCAGTTGAGGTGAATTACTGAAAAGTGTCTACATCTGCAGCAGACACCTTCGGGGCACCTGCCCTCCCCAGCCCATTCACTCCCTTCTCTGAGAGCTGACCTCTCCCCGTTTCCCTCACAGCAGGTCATGTGAATAGAAGGAGCAAAATTAGGAGCTGTGAGGAAGCCATCTTCTGCCATGTGCAGAAAGAGTTCTATACTTTTTAGTCATGTGGCATACACAAATAAATTGAAGTATCCTTACGTTTTAGGTGTCTCTGATACATTACTGAAACATTTTTATTACTTGGGATCATAAAAGATAATTAAGCTTTCACTTTAGCTGCTACTATCATTATAATGTGTTTTCAATACCAATTGAAGTGTCTATCTAGATCTAAAAACACGTAGGTAAGGGGTTAAGGAATTCCTGACAGTACCCAGATTCCTGAAAACTTAATATCGAGACTTCAGTAATAATATTGAAAAAGACACTCAGAGAAGACTCTCTAGTTCCCTCCCACTTCGACCTCAAGCGACAGGCCAACAGTTAAGTCAGTGGTAACTGAACTCTTTTCCGAGGCAAACGAATATGGAAGAAAGGGTCTCATTTGCTTGATCTCCCTTTAACTTACCTCTGTACTCCATCAAAGTGTTTTTTCTTAACTTCCTACCTCTTACTTTTAGCCCTGGCCTTAAAGGAAGGCAGCTACCCGCAAGGAGCAGTCAGGTGGGAGTTTCCCAGTCAGCAGATCAGCAGATCAGCAGATCTTTGCAGCTTTCCCCCCCAGTCCATTAGCACCCTGCAAAGGGTTCACAATCCCAAAGAACCAGTAAGCCTAAGGGCTGGCCAGTTAACTCAGTTGGTTAGAGTGCAGTATTACAACACCAAGGTGAAGGATTCAGATCCCTGTAAGGCCCTGTACAGAGTAACTGCTACATGGGGCAATGGGAAAATGAGCTCCCTGGGACACAAGAGACAGTCACCCAGCCTGAGGCCATTCCCAGACACGGGTGTGTCTGGGCAGAGAGTGGACAATGCTTCCCTAAAGAAGGACAAATCTCAGGTGTTGGACAGGTAAGTAGACTGTCCTCTAAACTCCTAAGAATTATTTTCAAACAGCATTATGACCAACCAAGGAACCGGATTTGAGTTCAATTTGTAAACTGTTGTACTAATAAAATCTACTTTAATTATTTTGAGAGACATAAAATTTGCTATGATATAAGCAAAAAGTTTATTGCTACAGCATCAAAAAGTCACAAGGCCACAAAATCAACTTGGTGAGCTCATAAAAACCACAGGCACCAGTTTTCTTAATGTGCCTTTCTTTTCTACATCTCAGACATGGCTTTACTGTTCTACCCTTCTGCAAGTCCCTAAATTACCAGGGTGGAAATATCTGCCTACCACAACAACCTTGGCTTTTATATTAAAAGATGCCCATTAAGATGAAAACAAACAAACAGCAGCAAAAAAGGGGGAAAAAAAAACCAACTGGCAGAGGAAATTGGGGTTTTTAAGATTTACAATCTAATTTTCACTTATTAGCTGAGTGACTCTGAGGCCCAGAGATCTACAGGAGATTTACTCTGCATTTTAAAAATGCGGCCAACATGACTTATTTCACTGATCTCACAAAGGAGCTGTAAATGTGAAATGAGTTAATAGACATTAAAAATTGTTCAGAAACTATAAAGCACTATACAATTTATCACAGGATTTTGGAAAAATATGTGTAATGTATGACCAGAGTTTATTTATGAGGTGGCAAAATGGTTAGACTTAAAATTTCTAAGGGAAATGGGTGGTTCTGAGCCTATCACCTGAAGAGAGAGGTACCCCATGGACCCTGAGCTTTACAGCCCATTGAGCGAGGGATTGAGGGACGGAACTCACACCCTGGCCATCTGGTAGTCAGCAGCTGCACGTGAGAAATGGGTTGGTGGGGGCAATTTCAGATTAGTTTCTGAGAGAGAAGTTTCCAGGAGATAAAAACATAACCTGGAGTTCATTAGTCCCGTAACAGTGTCATAAATGCTAAGAGCAGTGCCCAGAGAGAGGAGGAGAGCTGGTCTATAGCCAGCAGCCTTTCTGGGGGCACCACAGATGTGAGTGACACCCGGAACTCTCTCTCTCCCCACAGTTAAGGGTGCGAGAGGAAGAGGTCGGTGGCTGGGGATCTCTCTGGGGGCTGAGAGACAGGGTGTGTTTCTCAATTTATCTCCAGGCCATGGTCCCCACAGCCTCTCTGGCACCACTCAACCTACACAAAGTTCATTTTCATTGTAATTTAATCACTTGGACCATTATCCTGACAGAGTCTCCCATGAATGTTAAACAATAAAAAATTTGGCAAAGTGCATATCATTAGAATTGTTTCAAGTTTCTACCACTATTTGAACATGAGTGGGCTTTTTTTTCTTTAAAAAAAAAATCTCAATTGTCTGCCTTTCTTAAAGTCAATGAATAATTCTAAGAATAGAAATTATTACGTCAGCTTTAGTTTATCAGGTAGAAAGAAAACTAATTTGACAATGGCCACATGCCTCTATCTTTTGAACAAACTTTGACATTCGTCTTTTTATTTAGGTAAATAATGGCTGAAATTTCATGTCTTTGGAGAAGACCAGAGTAACTCCATACAGCAGTTTCTCCCTCTAATTGTTTCCCTAACGGCAAGAGACGACAGTTCTCACAGCAGGAGGAAAACTCTTCCCAGTAGTGTTTGGGTCAACCCCATCCTCCTTTTAAGTAGCAGAAGCTCCAGCCCCCTTGGGTTAAGACGCACTGTCTTAGGAACGCCAAGACCATCCTGGTAGTGGCTCCAGTTACAGACCAACTTACACCTTGTGGGTGGATGAAGCCACAGTGCCCTAAAGTTTATTTCCAAGGCAGCCAGAGTTCTTATCTCTGATCATTCCTTAGACAGCAGTAAAGTCATTCTGGCAGACTAAGGTAATAATTGGCTTTTGTTGGTTTTTTAAAAGGAGTGCAAGAGAGGTTGACACTTGGTGATCACTTACATGGCAGATGGGATTTTGGCTTCAGCTGTTCTGTTGAAGAAGACAATGAGGGCTTCTTTCTGCTGCCTTTTCTGTTGAAAGAGAAGTCAGGAGATTAAAGTCCCCCACTCTGAGAACTCTGGGATAAGCTGACCTAATTATCACTACAGCAAGTTTTACAAATCTTAACCACCAATCATCAGAATCAGGAGACCCCGGTGTGGACACTAACCCACTCATTTGCTTTGGCCAAGTCATAGGAACCTTGCTCAGAGATAGAACTACAGCTGCTCTGTCACTCTCCGAGAACTGTTGCAAGAATCAATGAGGAGGCACTTCTGGCATGGCCTCCCCATACATTCCAAACCCCTGTGATCAACTGAAATGCAGCTTTGGCCAAGCACGCCTGTTGACCCTGGGCTAAGCCTTTCAGGAATAATGTGGAAACAGGTTGCAAAAGCCTTTAAGATACACCCAAACCCTATATTCAAGCAACTTACTCTTAAAATTCACTCTCATGATATAATCAGATGTATACAAATTCATATATAAGCTACTTTTCCTATGTAGTATTATTCAGAATAGTGAGCAATTGAAAATAACTTAAAGGTCCAACTAAAAATAATTGGAAAAATTATAATATGGCCATGTGAGAAAACTATGCGGTCTCTAAATACTGTGCTTTTCTTTTCATTTTTCTTTTCTTTCTTTCTTATCTAATACTGTTTTCAAAGAACATTTAACATGAAAAAGTCCTCATTATACATTTGTAACCTCTTTTCTTCCCCACTCGATTTATATCTATATAGTCCCAATTTTGCTTTTAAAAAAATATTTATTACATACATAATATATACTATTTTTTATATAAATATATATTTATATAGAGATATATCAAATATATTTTAAAGCAAAATAAACATACATAAATATTATAGAAAAATACCCAAATGATATATGCTAAAATTATGTGAGGAAAAGATGATTCTTTTCTACAGTATAGTAATAAAAATAACAACTAACACTCATAGTCCATTTATTATGGGCCAGGCAGTGGTTTCAGAACTATATATACATTAACTCATTTAATAATGAACAATTATTATATATGAATAATTTCCATGAGGAAAGTACTATTATCACCATTGTATAGGTGAAGAAAGTGAGGCAAAAAAAGTAAAGTAATCTTACTTGTCCCACTGCCACTAAATGGCAGAACCAGAATTTGTAGCACTTACAAGTGCTGAAGCTCAAACATCTGGGCTTGGACCTTGATGGTGATAATGAAATGACCGAATACACACATAAAGCGCCATGCCCGGTAAGTAGCAAGTGTTCAATAAACATTACTTATTATAAGTACTTTTCTTATTTTTCAGATGTTATACAATAGACATCTGTTGTATTTTTAATATGGGAGAAATTCATAGTTTCATCTAAGGAAAAAAACCTCCTCAAACTGGGTAGACATAATACTATCTATTAATGATCTTACTTCTTTCACCAGCTATAGGCCAGGAAATTTTAAATAACCGGCATCCTTTGTTCCTGTCTCCTAGACTTTTATTAAATTAGATCCACTGGAGTTTTAAAATTTATTTTTCTATGCTGGAAATTTGAATGGATTGTCAAACGGCAGAAAAGTGAACTGATATTGTCACCAGGAAGTCTGCATGGACTTGTCCCAGTTTTCTGCTTATGGTCTTGCTGATCAAAAAATGGCTTTAGACAAAAGATGATTACAGTCAGCTTTTCTTAGCCTGTGAAGAGATATCTATTATTTCAGCTGAAACATGAGAAAAAGCTTTCATTATACATTCTATTTTATAAACTAGCTGCTTCACTTTGGTTCCGTGATTTAAAGCTTTTTTAAAAAAAGTATTCCTCCAGATGGAAAGGTGTAAAGGAACAAAGAGAGAATCAATTCTTGACAGGCGGCAGTGCTTGCCTGGAACCACCACAATGTACAAAATTACAAGGAAACTTGGGGCTAAAAAGTAACCACAAAAGCCAGAGAGAGAGAGAGAGAGAGAGAGAGAGAGAG